TCAGGGAGGAAGTGAGAGGAGTGCTGTTACATCGAGGTAATTACTACTAATGCTTTGAAACAAAACGTGTGCAAATTGTTGAATGGAAAACTAACTTGCTCTGTAAGCTTTCACCCAAACAACCACTACCAAAAAAAAAAAAAAGCTGACTTCAATATGATTTTATCTTTATTCTTCAAAGTCATACAAGTAGCAAGAAGAGAAGCCAGGAACTGAGACCAAGTAAGCCCAATTCTTTTTCATATTCTTCTCAATACATTCAACTCTCCCTAACTGAAATGCTGGATAATAATGGTCTAAGGACTGACATGGGAATATCCAAGAAGAAAAAAGAGCAGCTTTTGCTTTTTTTATGAGTCCGTGTCCCTCCTCACCCCCCACCCAAGAGGTGCTTATCACCTGCACCATGCTTTCAACAAAAATACTTCTGGCTAAAAGGATCAGTTCCATTTACTTTGCACATAAAGCAACACACTATTTTTTTCTAGTAATGTTATTGTAACAATCTGAATGTCTATCTCATTCCTAAATCCTATCTTTATCTTTTTGCTACTTTCTCTCATTTGCTTTAATGTTGTTGTTGTTAGGTGCTTTGGAGTCAGTTCTAATAGGAACCCTGCGTACAACTGAATGAAACACTCCCTGATCCTGCCTCATCCTCACAATCCTTGCTGTGCTTGAGCCCACTGTTGCAGCCACTGTGTCAGTCCATCTCATTGAGGGTCTTCCTCTTTTTCACTGACCCTCCATTTTACCAAGCATGATGTCCTTCTCCAGGGACTGCTCCCTTCTGACATGACCAAAGTACATGAAACAAAATCTTGCCATCCTTGCTTCTAAGGAGCATTCCGGCTGTACTTCTTCCAAGACAGATCTGTTGGTTCTTCTGACAGTCCATGGTATATTCAATATTCTTCACCAACACCATAATTCAAAGGCATCAATTCTTCCTTGGTCTTCCTTATTCATTGTCCTGCTTTTGCATGAGTATGATGTGACTGAAAATACCATGGCTTGGGTCAGGCACACCTTAGTCCTCAAACTGACATCTTTGCTTTTAAACACTTTAAAGAGGTCGCAGATTTGTCCAATGCATCATTTGATTTCTTGACTGCTGCTTCCATGGGCATTGACTGTGGATCCAAGTAAAACAAAATCTTTCACAACTTCAATATGTATATAGTTTATCAAGATGTTGCTTATTGGTCCAGTCGTGAGGATTTTTCTTTTATGTTAAGGAGGAATCCATACTGAAAGCTGTAGTCACTGATCTTCACCAGTGAGTGCTTCAAGTTCCTCTTCACTTTCAGCAAGGTTGTGTCATCTGCATGTTCTTGTTAGGTGCTGTTGAGTCGTCTCCAACTCATAGTGACCCCATGCACAGCAGAAAAAACACCTCCCAGTCCCATGCCAGCTCCACGATCCTGCTATACTTGAGCCCATCGCCACAGCCATTGTGTCAACCCATCTCATTAAGGGCCTTATTTTCTTCCGTTGATCCTCTACTTTACCAAGCATGACATCCTTTTCCAGGGAATGGTCCCTTCTGACAGCATGACCAAAGTACATGAGACGAAGTCTGGCCATTCTCACTTCCAAGGAACATTCTGGCTGCACTTCCTCCAGG